TGATGTGCTGACGTTGAGTTCTCTCGTCCTTATGGAAGCCCAAGCCTGCCCAAAAACCACATGAAGCATATAACTGGTGCAGCGAAACAGGCTAAATTTTGTATATCTACAAACTGTACTTCCACATAAATAATTTAATACCTCTTCAACCATAATAATGTAAATAAAGTGATTATGTACAAAATTCATTGACTCGATCAGGTCGTGACGGGCTACACTTGCTCCGTCTTGCGGCACTGGCTCTAGCCACACGAGGTAACTCTCATTCTCGTTTGTGCGAGCCTGGCATCACTGTGGTTGAGGCAGGCCAGCAAGTACATAAACCAAATAATCAATCCGTACAGATAAACTTCCAGTTTCTAAATATTTTAAGTATGGAATAGAAACTATATTATGGCAAAAAAAGGGGTCTAAACAAGAGAGGAAATCACATTCCTGTTTTCTTAATTCTAGATTTTCAAACAGAGCACTATTTGGTGTAATGTGGAATGCACCAACAATGCAGACATAAACAACAATCTTTGACTTCTTAATATCAAAACTTACAACAATCCCAATGATAACTAAATCACAATTCTTGCAATATAATTTTGGTTGATCCAGGACATTTGACTCACCCTGATAATAGATTTGAAGTAGTAACAGCTGGGCAATGGCCTTTTAAAACAGATTTCAAACAAAACAATGCACGCACAAATTTCTTAAGCATGCTAAAATAAGGAAGATACAGCAAATTTTACTAAAACAGATTCAGTTCTTCGCAATACAGGAAATTTGAAGAGATGTAAGCAAAATAAGAAAAGGGGGGAGGGGGGGGGGGCGGACCTTAGGCCCATTTCTTGAGGGTAAGATTATTTCAGGCAGCAAATACATTCTACTTGTAGCAGTCACAATCAGAATCCTTCAGCAAATATAACATGGTTTCTCTAAATGTCAATCCGAGCTTTACATTAGCACCACAAAACGAAGGAAGAGGAGGTAAAATGACAAAGAAAATATCCTAGCTCTAGGTACTCTCCCCAATAGTATTAGACAACAAAAAAGAAGGCTGGAACACAGCATCACTTGGTCAATTTACTAACTAAGAGAGGAAACAATGTAACTGTACATACAAGGCAAACAAGAGTAAGGGACATGCAATATTGGTCCCCTAATAACAAGAAATTATAATATATAATATAAACTCCACACAATTCCCTTTCATACAACACAACAATCAACAATCCCTGTGCAATTAATACTGGGGAATATAAACCTCTTAGTAATTTACAACAGCAAGTTTTAAAACAGAAGGAAACAGTTTCACTGATTAGCCATGTTTTCTCTCTTTATTTCCATGCTCAACTAGAAGAGGATTTAAGTAACACAAGACAGAAAATTTGGGCCTTGTTGGGTATCAGCGAAAAGGTAACTAAAGCAGCATATATGGAATCAACAAGTTTAAAAATTGAAAGGAAACACTCAAGTAGGTTAATCAAAACAATGCACGCTTAAAAGGGGAGCCAGAACATTCTGCAAGCACAAGGCTATAGGTGCATAACACAAAACTGAAGGACAGTGAACAAAATAATGCAATAAAAGCAAACAAAGAAAAGCTAAAATTAACGACAAGATTGGAAAAAGGTAACTGTGGAAGACCAGCTAAATTCATCAATGTCCTTGTGCATTACATAGAAGTCCATGGAATGAATCAAAGTACCATAACCATTCATGGAAATGCACTAAAAAAATGCATTCTTAAAATTGCCAAAAGGGGCATGCAAATTAATCTCAAGATAATTGATCAACACATAACAACAATAAAAAGCAGCTTATAAACCACCAAACTCTGATCAGCTGAATGAGCTAAAACAAACATTTCCTTCCACGCAGAAACCATACCTCATCATGATAATACATCAAACTCATGGAATTCAGAACTGATATTCAGTGTACATAGATCTAGTTCATTGACACAATTTAAACCGATGAAATGGTAATACTTAAAAGTAAACCCATAAATCAGCAGAAAGTTGAAATACTTGGCAAATCTATGTTAACAATTTGTATAGCATCATAATTGAGAGACAAGAGTAATAATATCAAATGTCACGATAGCTAGAAGAATTCGGGAAGAATATACTTTTGAATTGAATAATAGGCAAATTTTAGAATATAAAAGAGACAATAAGAGTTTAATTGACAGCCTATTGGCTTCGAACACTTCACATAATCCTTTGCTACTACTGGTCAAAACTATCATGCATTCTCATACCAAAAGTATAGTGGTGGAAATCAGTTCCAGCACACATTTAAAAACAATAATAAAAAATAAACACATATAGTGAACTGTTTCGTAAAAGTCAAATACACTTTATCACTTATAATTAATTTGTAAAACAGAGGTAAGATATAGTGGAGAAAGAGGGGGTGGCTTTGCAGAGATCAAAACGAGCTCATGCAAAAGAAAGAGAGAGAAAAAGAGAGAGAAAGAGAGCGGCACAGGCACAGGCTCTCAGGGCATTTCAGTCTTTTCAACTGTTTGAACAGCTACACTCATCTGCACCATATACCTTACTCAAAAAAGAAATGCTCCACGACTCTGTTTAAACCAAAGACCTCCTCCAAGTAAAATAAAAATGTCTTAAATATTAAATAATAGTAGCGGTTGAATAATATAAAGACTAACTGGAAGATTGGAACAATCAGAAATGGAAGAGGTAGGACGGTACATGGAAAAATGAACGACAAGTAAAACAAAGAGTGGAAAGGCAGAGGGATGAACTGGCCATCTGTTGCTGACTGTTGGCCAAGACATTATAACCAGGATAGTCAGCCAAGGACACTATGTAAAATCACAGCAAGGACCACAGCAAAGACTCCAAACATACTGAGGATTATTGCTGCCTTTTGCTTGTCTGTCATTGGGGTAGGCTGCATAGCCTGTAAAATAAAAAAGGGATGATGAATTTTTATACTTAAATAACTAGTATAGAACTACTGACATTGTTAAGTAGAGTAATCTAGCAAGGAAAACAGAAAGCGTTCTCACTCAGTTGAGATTAGATAGAAGAGACACATACCTGTTGAGGAACAGCACGGACAACAGGTTCTGGCAAATCTACAGCTGGTAATGAAAATGATGATGCAGGTGATGAGGCACCACAAAGATCTCCATTTGATGTGCATCTAATAGGCGTTACTCGTATATCATACTCGGCACCAGGTTCCAAGTCTTCCAATGTTGTTTTGGTATCAGATCCTCTATACACCTGCATTGACAAAATGCACAGTACAATGCATTAAAGCATGTCAAAGAACATTAGAAGAACCAGAAATAGGGTAACTGTATTAAGGAAGGCACACTAACCACTTTGTAGTCTTGGTCTCGTAAACGACTGAGTTGTAATTGATACACAACAGGATCATTGGGGAGGGGTCTACACGGAAGCCATTCAACCACACAGCTTCTCTGCTGGATTTCAATAGCTTTCGGTGCTGTAGTGGGGAGGGAATTAGGATTTAGATTAACATTTTTAGAAAGAAAAAAAATAGAGATGTTTGAAGGGATCACATTTGAGAATGTCACCAAAGTGACAAAAACATTAAATAGCTATGCTTTTTTTTTTTTTTTAATTTTTACCTTTGACTGAAGATGGAGGTGCTATACAGGTAGAAAACTCATATATTTCAGAGAAATCTCCTTGACCAGCATCACTAGAGGCAGCAATTCGGAATCTATAAACAGTCAATTCTTGAAGGCGATTGACCTTATAGGTGTGGTTTGTACCTTGATAAACTGTTTGGAATCTGCAAAGAAATAATAATAATTATTAGCAAACATTGTTAAAGCCATGTTACAGGCCAGACAAGCCAACTCCAAAGAAATAGAAGTACACAATATAATAGAGAGAATGCTTACTGATCCACATTACTACGAGGATTTTCCATTTCCAAAATGTATTGAGTGAAGTCTGGATTACGACCATCACCCCATTTCAGTTTCAAATGATTATGACCAACTGTGACACACTCTACATTTGGAGGAGATGGTGGAAGAGGTTTGGTTGTGCATTTATATGACTGTGAATAAGGACCTGTTCCTACTGCATTCACAGCTCTCACACGTATCCTAGTAAAGAAAGAAGACAACTTAATAAATCCATATTCTAGTACAAAAGCAAAATAAAACCAGAGAGCAAATGTGTGCATACCTATATTGTGATTGCGGCTTAAGTTGATCAATTACTATTTGAGTATCAGGTCCATCAGTGGAGATAATTCTATCAGGAAGATCAATCTGATAACTCAGAATTGGCGAGCCATTGCAGATGGGGGCAGACCAGGTGAGAGTAACTGAATAGGGAGTTGAGGCACCACGTACAGATGTGGGTGCAGCAGGCGGACCAGGTGGTGTTGTCAGGACAGAGTCTGCTGACCAGCCACTCCAGCCAGCACTATTTCCAGCCTATTTATGAAAGAAACATGTGAATAAAATATATATGTACTAAACTGCCTTCCAGAAACACCTCCTCAATGTTATGGCCTGCCATGACTTACCTGAACTCTGAAGTGGTATGTTGTTGCTGGAAGAAGGTTCTTTACTTCTGTGCTAGTAGATGAGCCAACATAAGCGTTCCTTCGCTCAATGGGAGAAACAGAGTCCAAAATTTCTACAGCATCAAGGGGTGCTGGCACAGCAGGTCGAGGTGGTCGCACAGGGCTTGCAGGAATATTAGGGGTAGTGGTGCTATTGGAACTCACAGAACTAGCAGGGCTAACAGGTCGAGTAGAAGGACTTGTAGAGCGAGCTGGGCTTGGACTGGTAGGGCGAAGGTTTCCAACTTGCAACTGATACTCGGTGATTGGAGAGCCATTACTAGCAGATTCTGTCCATGCCACCAACACAGATATGTTTGATCCAGCATTAGATGGTGGGGAACGGGGAGAAACATTAACTTGAGGTGGCAAGGGAATTTCAGGAGGTGCAGATCCACTCTGGACTTTCAGTGGCTCTGACCAGGGGCCAGGCTGAAAACAAAAAACAGGAATAACATTTTAGTTCACTCTGTAGAATAGATATTAGAAAAAAATTGGTCTTTATTAACAATAATTATCATCAGCATAAAGAAAAGATGAGTACTCACCCCAACTCTATTACAGGCACGCAGATGGAAGACATAACATTTCCCAGGCTGTAAATCTTGAACAGTACACTCTGTTTCACGGCCAACATAAGCCTGACGTCTTTCTTTTTCCTTCTCAGCATTAGCAACTTCAATTTCAAACTGGCTTAAGGGAGCACCACCATCAGTATTTGGATAACCTTAATAAAGCATTGAAATAAATTAATTATCATCATGAGTAAATTCAATAAAAACATACAGATACCTTGTCAAATGAAAACTTACTCCATTTCAATGATAAGGAAGTAGCTCGTGGTTTCCCATGCAGGCGGAAAGATTGGCATTGACCAGGACAAACTGCATCTGTTGTAACAGTGGTCACATCAGAAAAGTCACTTCTTCCTCCAGCAGTAACACAGCACACACGAAGGATGTACTGTGTTCCAGGTGTAAGCCGTTCACACATATGCTCTGAGTGAATCCCTTGGTAGACTTGATGGAAATTTCCTAGAAATAAATAAATAAATAAAAATGAGCATAATAACTTAAAAAATAAACCAAAAAACACAGGCATAAATAACATATGAAAACAGAACTGAAACATTACCTTTGTCAGTACCAAGTTCTAGTGTATAACTGGAGATATCAGCTCCACCTTTTTCGTGGGGTGCATCCCATTTGACCTTGAAGGAATGAGCATGAATTTTTCCTTTTACAATAGGTCTGGAGGGTGGACATGGGCGATCAGGAAGAGTTCGGTAGCAGACTTCTTCTGACCAACGAGAAGAACCGTCTTCATTATTTGCCTTCAACTATAAAGAAAAGGAAACAGTTTAACAATGTAGTTAGGTACAAAGGTGCAATAAGTAAATTTTGAAGAAAATAGTTCTGTGACATACCCTAAATCTGTATTCAGAGTGCCTACGAAGTCCATCACATAGATGATGGGTATCTCGCCCAGTGTAAACAGGCATGTAGCCGTAGTTAGAGTAACGGTCATCCATCTGAAGGACAAACTCTTCATCACCCTGCCGGCGCGTCCACGCCAAGTGCAAACCGGTTACTGCAGCAGACCTCAATATTGGTGGATTCGGGGGAGAAGGGACATTCCCTGCTGTCACGTATGTGACTATCTCAGAGTAATTACTGCAAACACACACAAAAAAGACGTGAACAATAGTTTGGGAATATTGTGAAAACAAATTCAATCCTTCGAGAGAAGACGGCATGCAGCTCAAGGTGCACCACTTACCTTCTTCCACATTCATTAACAGCAGCCAGTCTGAACCTGTACGCTGTGCCAGGCTGAAGTCTTGATAAATTATGTTGCTTTGCTCTAGTACGGAAAGCTTCACTAAATACACCTGTACCATTATCACATTCCAAGATGTATTGTTGGATATGAGCGCCATTATCCACAGCAGCTTGCCAGCGTAGCTGCAGTCCAAAACGGTTCTTTTGAATTAATCGAGGTGGCTGGGGTGCTTCAGGGCGACACGCTGGAGTGGTGAATGTTGTGGGCTCTGATGCCTGCCCTCTCAGTTCATCCAAATGAACGAGGAGACATACAGAGTATTCTTTTCCAGGCTGCAGGTCTTGGATTCTGAAAAACAGTGAATGCATTTGTCATTATGGTTTCTCTTTAGTTGTTACAAATAGTATTCAGTATTTAATTTCAGTCTACCTGCAGGAATGGGAGAGACCATTGTAGATGGATTTATAACGACCCTCCTTTCCTTTATCACTAAGTAGAACTTCATATCTTAGGTCTGTTTCAAGAATCTCATCACTTCCCAACTCCATTAACCCTTCTGGAGATGACCAGTGAAGCAAAGCACTAGTTGAGTCCAATTCCGCTACCTGGAAAATCAAGAAAATATTATTCTGAATGTCTAAAAAATACATGGACATTAATCTTAATAAGACAGACATATATTTTAACCTGTACCTGTGGTGGTTGGACGGAAGACAACATTTCAGTGATTAGTTCCACATCATCTTCTTCATCTTGAAGGCTTGAGCTTTCTTCACCATCTTCTGAGGTTCCAACACTGCTCATTCCACGTTCTTTGCCAGTGATCACCCTTGTGCGGAGACCATTGGCAAGATCTGGGAAGCAAGCAGAAATTAGATTATAAATGATACAAAGTAGTAAATTATTTAGATTCCTGATCCCTTTTTTACACTGCCAAGTAAAAGGCATGCATACTTTAAACAACTGCCACACCATGCGCAAGGAATGTTAACTTAGATCAATGTTAGGACCCATATATTAATAAAATAGTAATTGAATTATGTTACTTTATTTAGAGTAAAATAATGTAGAAAGTATTTAAAAATCCTATTTAGCATTACAGCATAGATTTGGCTAGTTGTTTGTCTTGTTTGTGGATGCTTACCTTTCCTTGGGGAGGCTGGAGGTGTGCCATGGGCTGTGCTCCCACCTAAACCAGGCTGAGTCATAGAGTCTCCCTTCATTGTCTGCTTTTGTTCCAACTTGCGTTTAAGTCTGATGTGCTGACGTTGAGTTCTCTCGTCCTTATGGAAGCCCAAGCCTGCCCAAAAACCACATGAAGCATATAACTGGTGCAGCGAAACAGGCTAAATTTTGTATATCTACAAA